CTCTCCTCTTCCTGACAAGGAAGCGAGGCAAACACAGCTGCAGCTCCTCTCCAAAGAACTTTGAATGCTGCAGACTCCGAAGGCTGTGCTGCTTACAGATGAATATGCAACTCGTGTGGCCCAAACTGAAAGAACAACAAGCCTCTTCTCATACACAAATGCCCATCTTAGCTGGATAGTTTGATGAAGAGGCCAATTTTTAAAGTCCAAGTTTCCACTGAGGAGTATTGTTTAGTGCCATACAAGGACTGGGGCAGTGGGGCTAGGTTAAAGTATCGATTCTGCTGCAAAGCTTCCTGGCTGGTTTCTTTAACAGAAGGAATACCCGTCAACTGGTTTTCCCTGCAAGAGCACGGCGGCCATTTTGGGTGCCTTGCTCCTCCATGATTTTGGGGCGAGATCTCACCCCCCAAAAAAGTATTTCTTCAGGTCCACGATCTCGAACAGTGCCCCAAAATTTGCATGTTTTGGCTCTGTGTCCAAAAAAGGTGCTTTTTCTGGGCCCACAATCTTGTGAGTGTCAGGTACCTCACAAGGGATTTTGGACCCAAAAGACAGTGTTTCGGATTTTGGCCGCATTATGTTGGAGGGAATGGGAAGGGGGCAAAGAAGCTTTTATTCCCTTCTTTCCAGGACTACCACCACATCTCTATGCTGTTTCTAATCCCAGCTCAGAGTGCTTTGGGGGCCTCCAAGGTATGACTTTGAAGGGAAATTAGCTTACCGTACCTGTCTTTCCTCAGAGACAAAAGTGGCTTGTGGTTCACTATCAAATCTCATTCATACAAGGATCAAGGTATGGATTTTGGTCTATGTTTGGATATCATTGGACACTGTATTAAATCAAACCACTGAAAAACTATGGCTTCATACAGGCTTCTCCAATTCAGGGCCTCAAAGATGCTTTGGACTACATGTCCCAGTCAGCACAGCCGAAGATGGGAGTTGAAGTCTAAAACATCTGGAGGGCACTAGGTTGTGGAAGACAGATCCAGCAGTGTATCAGAGCCAGCCCTTCAAAATATCAAGGAAGGCTGTGCTGTGCTCACAACCCAAATGACACAAAATCTAAAGAGCAAGGCAGAGCATGACCCTTGGAGAACGCTAGAAGTCAAAAGGGCCGTTTGAAAGGAGGAAAAACTGTTTCACAATGAAAGGCTGGCTCAAAATGCCACGGATCCAGTTAAAATGCCCTGTTGAAAATATTGGGCCAGAAACTGTTAAGTGTTCTATACTGTTTAATGATAGATATGCAGCCCACAGCAAGACAAAGTTCACTCGTTCCAGTGGCTGAGCACAAACAATAATGCAACTATTTAAAAGCTCCCAAAAGAAAACAGAGGGGACTGGTGCCATTTGCTGGGAGTTGCTGCCTTGTTAAAGAGTTTTCTAGGGTTAGTGTGCTTGCCCAGTACAAAACAGCAATGCCTCCCACAAGATGTTACACAATTCAAGCAGAGAACGCGGTGAGGGGATTGTATTGGCCTGACCATGGCAGCCGTTTAAAAGCGTAATCTATCACAGAGCCTGGCATGAACTTATCTCCTGTGCCAAGATTCCTGGGTGTAACTGGGCAATGGATATAGGATATAATATAGATTTAAACCTCTGCGAGAAACTTTGGAAGCACGATCTGAAATCTACTGCAATGCTACGCACTAAAATTGTATGAAAATGATCCATAGGTTATATTTAACTCCAAGTAGATTGGCTAAGATGTATAAGGTGGAATCGGACTTATGTTGGAAATGCAAAGAAGTAGAAGGAACTTTTTCCATGTGGTGGACATGCAAAAAAGGTAAAGTACCGTATATTGGGAAATGATATACAATGAGATGAAAAAGATGTTTAAAACAACTTTCTCAAAAAAATCCCAGAGTCTTTACTGTTAGGAATTGTTCAGACAGAGGTTCCCAGGAGTCAGAAGAACTTATTCATGTATGGAACAACAGCGGGTTGGATCTTGTTAGCTCCAAAATGGAAAGTGAGAGAAGTCCCTGGTAAGGAAGACTGGCAACTCAAGATGATAGAATATGCAGAATTAGCAGGCCTAACATGCAGAATAAGAGAACAAGAACAGGTATTTAAATGTTGTTGTTGTTGTTTAGTCGTTTAGTCGTGTCCGACTCTTCGTGACCCCATGGACCAGAGCACGCCAGGCACTCCTGTCTTCCACCGCCTCCCGCAGTTTGGTCAGGCTCATGTTTGTAGCTTCGAGAACACTATCCATCCATCTCATCCTCTGTCATCCCCTTCTCCTTGTGCCCTCCATCTTTCCCAACATCAGGGTCTTTTCCAGGGAGTCTTCTCTTCTCATGAGGTGGCCAAAATATTGGAGCCTCAACTTCACGATCTGTCCTTCCAGTGAGCACTCAGGTCTGATTTCCTTAAGAATGGATGCGTTTGATCTTCTTGCAGTCCATGGGACTCTCAAGAGTCTCCTCCAGCACCATAATTCAAAAGCATCAATTCTTCAGCGATCGGCCTTCTTTATGGTCCAGCTCTCACTTCCATACATCACTACTGGGAAAACCATGGCTTTAACTATACGGACCTTTGTTGGTAAGGTGATGTCTCTACTTTTTAAGATGTTGTCTAGATTTGCCACCGCCTTTCTCCCAAGGAGCAGGCGTCTTTTAATTTCGTGACTGCTGTCACCATCTGCAGTGATCATGGAGCCCAAGAACATAAAATCTCTCACTGCCTCCATTTTTTCCCCTTCTATTTGCCAGGAGGTGATGGGACCAGTGGCCCTGATCTTCGTTTTTTTGATGTTGAGCTTCAGACCATATTTAAATAGTGGGATTTTTTTGTCAAGTATATTGAAATGATTGAGCACAGTTAAAAACTCTGGCAGCATGAAAGTAATTCAACAGTATATTTTGAACTAATGTAAGATAGGAAAATTAAATTAGATGGATATATTAAAATATGCAGGGATGGTGGGTAAGTTAAATGAACCTTGGAAGGGGAGGGAGGGAAGTCAATGAATATATGGTATAATAAAATAAGTTTAATTTGAAATGTAAAATTTAATAAAAATTATTATTATTAATAAAAAGATTTCTGGGTGTAACTCTGCAAGCATGGAATTTAAGGTGGGTATCACCACCCATGTGAATGTAATGTTTAAAATGGTGGGTTTTCGAGTTTTCTATCTCCAAGGCGGGTGCGGTGAGCTTCAGGCCCAGCAGTGGAATGTGGTCCTCAAAGCCTCCTTCATCTGGCCCTCAGCACACTCTCTAGGCCACCCACCAAGTGTTTTTGCCTGACTGGAATCTGTCCTTGAACTCTTGACATTCCCCTTTGCTTGCCTGAATGGAGGACAGAGAAAGGCATGCACTTAGAAAGGAAGTTATATTGTACAAAAGTAAACTTTATATTAGTTGCTGTGCTGAGTTTTGCGTTTGCCCTTGCTGGTTGTGACCCTCAAAATGGTGCCCAGAAGAGAATGTAGCCCTTGAACAAGGGCCCTCCACACCTTCAAGGGAACCGGTTCCTTGTCTGCCACCGAAACTTGCAGGTCCTACATGCGCACTCGGTTCACATTGGGCAATGGACAAGCATGCTAGTTGGCCATTCTCCTGCACAAACGGGGAATATGAGCTAGAACACTTTCAAGACTCACAGCTATATAACCCACAGCTATATGTTGCAGAACAAAATTCACCTTGGCCATTTGCTGGATGGCTTCGCCTCCCCAGTTTCCTAGGATCAACATGGCAACATTCCCCGCTCCCAAACAAGCCTCTTTAAACCTCCTCGCTCAACACACAAGTGAAATTAGATCACCACCTTGAGGCAAGCTCTCAGCACTGCACTCGAACATCATTACTGAATTGATAAAATAAGGTTATTCATTAGTCAGGTTGATCCTGAAGGAAATACCTGGTTTGTGTGGCATCCTTATTTCTGAATTTTCTGCAGACGCTGGCCCATGAACGAAGTACTATTTTTACCTGGGCGTAGCGTACAGAGATGTCCCAAAATGCGTGGAACTGCCACCGTAGGCGCCCAAAAGCAGCATATTACTGTATTTTTCGCCCTATAGGACGCACTTTTCCCCCTCCAAAAATGAAGGGGAAATGTGTGTGCGTCCTATGAGGCGAATGCAGGCTTTCGCTGAAGCCTGGAGAGCGAGAGGGGTCGGTGCGCACGGAAATGCCATTTACCTTCCCGCCAGAGTGGTACCTATTTATCTACTTGCACTTTGACGTGCTTTCAAACTGCTAGGTGGGCAGGAGCTGGGACTGAGCAATGGGAGCTCACCCTGACGTGGGGATCCGAACCGCCGACCTTCTGATCGGCAAGTCCTAGGCTCTGTGGTTTAGACCACAGCACCACCCGTGTCCTAAAACCATCCATAGTAATATAGTTTTATTCCATTTAATACCAAATATAGGACACCCAAGTGAAGATATATTAGAAACCCTTAATCATCTGAAAGCTTCAGAAAACCAATGGGTTCCCCCCACGAAAAAATGGCGAGCACCCATTAATGTTGGGGCCATTCATACTTCCAAGGGGAAGGAGTTCCATAGGTGGGGCACCACTACAGAGAAACCCACCTCCAGGCCCCCACACAGAGAGCACCACTTGTTCGTAGGACCACCAGCAAAGTCCCCTCTGCTGATCTTGGGCCTTGGCATATCCAGCCCAAGGTTTACAGAGATTTGCTATGACTCTGGAAACTTTGCTTCGGATTTCACATCAGAGAATCTAGTTTCTGAAGGCAAGACATGATTAAAGAGGCCAGCTGAAAGATGATGTTCAGAAAAATCTTTATTGAACGTAAAAAGCCCATTTCCTCCCAGAGCAAAGACTAACGTTCGCCTTAAAATGGTTGTACTATTACACTCTTATAAACTGTAGGCAAATCACGACATCAGCATTCATTGCAGCTGCATCTTGTCTTTAAAAACGAGTAAAGGTTAAAAAGGATAGAACACACCACCGCAAAGCGTACTGTTATCACACCTTATTGCAATAAAACAAAATAGGCAGTATGAACAATTCTGATTCATTCTGGTAACATCTCAGTGATGCTGCAGAGGTTAGCAATTTCCAAGGTAAAAACATTAACAGACTTGAACGCTGTTTTCCTTGCGCGATGCTTGCACCCAAGGATCTCTGCTGCTTAGCTAACCATGAAGGTTGTCTGATTTGGTCGGTATTTACGGAGGTGGGATGGGTGCTGAGAATTAGTCTCTCCCACCTCCCGTATTCAATTAAACGGCTCTATAAAACTGGATGGCAAAATCCATTGCATGAGAACTACTAAGAAGAATGCAATTGGGAAAGAATTCTTGGGAAATGGTGGCAAGGCAAAATTAATTCATTTAAAGTGAAACTCATGCCAGCAAACCTCTGCGATACTGAAGGATGAAAACATTTCTAACTGTTTGTGTGTGAGTTCTGTGTGACAAGGGAGGGATGGACAGAGTGGGCAAAATAAGTTTCATTTCCAGTTCTGATTCCCAGGTCAATAGACATAATACAACAAGCGTCAACATAGCCAAAAACCTAGGGTAAAATATGTAGAAAACGTAATTATTTCTTTCTACAACCTGAGGGCAGTTGAAATAGCAGCTTGCTATTCAATCAAATCAATAAGAGACAGAGGATTATTGGACCCGGTCAAAATGCAAACTTGAAGACGGCTGCCACTGTCAAAATGGCTGTGAACATGTTTCCCACAAGAGAAGAAAACGTCTCTCTCCGTAATTATTTGTGTGAACAAGTTAAACGGAAATACACGATATGCAGATTGTTTGCAGATTGTTTACAGATTACAACAGTTCTGTGTTTTCTTTTCTTTTTCAATACACTTTAAAGGTAAAATGCTCAGAACGCACTGCAACCTTAAATAAACTTTCTTCCTCTTTTCAGTCTGTTTATAGACTTACAGAATTTAAGCGGCGCAGCTGCCGACAGTTTGCTTGTTCTAAAGAGTGCTGGAGGTGTTATGATAGAGGCACTCCTTCTTGTGGGGTAGGTACACTTTGCCTTGGGGGTCAAGCAAGTTTCTGAAACACTGTTTAGTTTAGAAAGGATAAGGGGATGAGTACATCTGTTACAATACCGCTATAAACTCTCTTTTAAAAAATCACCATTGACTTCTGCCACATTTGCTAAAGAGATCTGGGATCCATGCCATAAAGGAATCCATTCAAATTGTATTATAATTCCAGCTCTTTATAACTAAACTTGTAACGCTGAATGGAAGCTATTTGAAATCCAACAATTCATTCAGAGGTGACTTGTCCTTGGCGAGAGAGCCAGAGTTATTTGGAACGATTTCGCTGAGGCATTTTACCTCCACGAACCTACTCTTGACTTCTTGCGTGCCGTTAACAGAACAATGGCAAAACGTAGGCAGTTTCAGCAACCTTCAGGGAATAATGCTCTACAGATCTGCCAATTGAGCTTAATGTATTTACAGGCAGACAGAAGAGGTGTTTAACCGCATCATTTGTCCATCGAGTCGAATATCATCTCACAAGTCACCCCAGTTTTCTCGTTGTCCAAAACAACTTCCTTTTTCTCCCATGTTCCGACAGGGATACGAGGAGTGAAGAATTGAGAGTTAACACAAGGAACTCCTGGCAAGGGGAAGGAGAGTGAGAAAGAAGGACATTTGTGGAGAACAAATGCATACACAGAAACATAGAAAGCTTCTTACTGTCCTTTTTAATTTCAATCTTTACAGCGAGAAGCTATAGGACCCAGCCTCTTGGATAATGGCGTTGTCCCAAGTGAATCCCCGCCTCTCCCACTCCCTCATTCCTCATTTCTATGGGTGCTGCTACATGCCCTCTGTCTTTGAGCTCCTTGCTCTCCTACTTTTAAGGCTCGCCGGGTTCTGGGAGATGGAAGGTCTGGAATGCTTTCTAATGACAACGTGTGTGATGGCCTGGGATTCGGATTCAGATGCTGAACCTGAGGAATCCCAGCCTGCACAGGATTCCCCGCCTCCAGAACCAGCTGGGGCATGAGCCTGAAGGGTCCTCACCTGTGCTGGACCCTCAGGTGCAGGCACCAGCTGAGGCTGCTCTGGCTCCTGAGGGGATGGAGGACCCATTGCCTGCAGGTGCTCCACTCTCAGCCCCATCAGGGGAGGCTGAGGTTGCCTCTGGATCCGGTAACCCTCCAGCCTCTCCTGGGCTGCAGAGGCTCAGGGCAGAGAGGCGGAGGGAACTAAGTTCCTGCAGGAGGAGTGCTCGCCTCCAGTTCAGGAGGGGCGAGTCACCTGTGGATCAGGGCTGCCCTATGCCTCGGGGCAGATAAAAGCCAGCTAGCCCCAGTCCCGAGTTGCGGGAGCAACTTTGTAGGTTGCCAGTTCCTGCCTGAACCCTGTCCTGCTCTCCTGCCCTCACCGGACTCCCTGCCCTGCACCCAGCCTCAGCTTTTCGGTCTGCCTCCATATTGCTCCTTCAACCTCGGACTGGACTTGGACCTCGCCTCTCAGTTGACCCACGGGACCAGCACAACGTGTCAGCTGGGTGTTGTTCCGGCTCTCCGATGATTTCCCAGCTTTCCCCCTCATCTGCCTCTGAGCTGCCACCTCCCTCAACCCCCTGTGGTAAATCTATACTGTCTTCCTCTTCCTCCTCCCTGGAAGGTCTCCGCCATTCCGCCTCTGCCCAGTCCCTGACAGTAGAGTTGGAAGGGACTGCTGGGGGCCATCTATTCCAACCCCAATGAGATGCAGGAATCAGTTATAGGATCCCTGACAGATGGCGCTGATCTGTGCATGCATGACTGCAACTGGAGCTGCACGCACATAGCCCTGTCACATAATAATATATGCAATATATTGTATATACTTATGCTAATATACAATGCAGGTATACGATGAGACCTTTTAGGCCCAGGCCAATCTCCCGTCTCCCTTGCCAAAATAATAAACGCATGTTGCGTGCGGCTGTGTGAGCAGAAAGCTGCATGCTCGCAAGCAGCAGCTCAGCGCGATCGCAGCACATGAACCATCTCCCCTTTCACCTGAAGTCACCTCAAAGATTACCTCCTTCTTTGGTGTCGCAGCTGGACCCCTTGTTTTCTTTCTTTTTATTCTTGTTCCCTTTGCTAGGTTGAACGGTCCTTAACTCGCCACACTTTTCAGCATGCTTGCGCATATTATTCTGCTCGGAATAAGGGATAAAAAACACACGCCAAGATTCACCTATCTAGTGTATTATGCACAATATCCATCCGTCTGCCTGCCTGTCGAGAGTTAGGGCTTATAGTCACTGATTCAGTGAATTGTATTAGGATCAAAGTCAATTAGGATCAATATAATTCAATGAATTATATAACTTAGGATCAACATTTGACCATGATTTCTGCATTGTAGGGGGCTGGACTAGATGATCCTTGGGGTGCCTTCCAACTCTACAGATCTATGATTTAGGCTCACGGTGGGGATATACACATGGAAATATTAAATTTGGTTCTGAAAGGTCATGCGTGTAACAGGTGCCCCCTCAACTGACTTTGTGGGATTTGACATAGATTTCTTCCACCCTCCCTGTTCTTTTATACTAGTGTGTGCTACATTTCTGAAATATAAATAATAATACATATTCATTCCTGATAACATAAACATAAGATTCCCCAAACTGCTCTCTTTTACTGATTGAGTCCTTGTTTCTTAACGGATGCGTTTCTTTTGCATTTTTGGTTATAATGCCACGATACAGATTTCTTATGGTTTTTCTGTGTTTTTCTCTATTTAATTCTGCTGGATCTGACTTTTACTGGATTCCTTGGAAAAGCAAAGTGTGCATGCATACACACACACACACACACACACACACACACTGATCCAAATGTGCCCAGGGGCCTACAAAGGTTGGCAACCCCTGGTTTATGATAGCATTGCCTGCCTTGACTGGCAGTGCCTCTATCAGGGTCCTGATGCCCCCCTCTGTCTTAATGCCAAACAAAAAGCACAATAGCAGCTGAAACTGCCACATGGCTGAATTTTGCAACCCATACCAGATTTTTTTTGCTATTGTGCTTGTATGTAACCCACGGAGCACACACAGTTCTGGATCTGTTTGACAGGAGAGACATTTCCTTTACAAAGCAAAGTCAACTCACCCAGCGAGAATAGCCTTTTCCACATTTCGGGCATTTGTACACTCTTGGCTGAAAACTGGAGTCGTGGTACTTCTTGAAATGGACCATCAGGAGCTGTTTCTGTCGAAAGCGTTTGCTGCAAGAGACGCAAACGAAGGGCTTCTCGCCTGTATGTGTCCGTTTGTGAATAACCATATGGCGTTCCTGGTGGGGAAGGAAAAGGAGGAGGACTGACTGGAAGGAAAGCCAAGCGTTTCAACAGCCACGCCTGGAAATGTACAGAACCAGAAGAGGGATGAAAAGGGCGGAGGAGAGGTTGGCGTCACGGAGGCGCAGTCTCCGACTGCTTGGGAAGAACCCTGGAGAGGAAGGTACTTAAGACTGCTGTGGGGAGGTGGGGACTTTTAGTCTTGGCAACTGATTCATGCGACAAGACCTACCAGGGATGCTATGCTCATTAAGCCGCCAAGTCTGCGCAGATTGTGTTCTTGCTAATCAAGAGTTAACTCCAACTTGCACGGTGTGATTTACTGCCAGCTCACTCCTGACACCTACGGAGCTACATGCTCCTTGTTGAGAGTTGAGCAAGCTCTCCAGTCTCATGAGGGCTTCCTGCATGCATTCCCTGAACGCCACTGACCCTATCTGCTCCAACCCATGTGTCTGCTGACCCCACCCCATGAAGGTCACTCGTTTTCAGCAGGAGGACTGAATGGGGAACAGAACTGGAGCCACACTTCAGGAGGTCCTTGCCACGGTGCATCTGATGGCACATTCCCCCTGCCATGTGGACACGACTGTGCAGGCTGCCCCACCCCTCTGCTTCAGGGGCAACAGCATCAGCACCCATCAGCCTCCCTTGGATGGCATTTTAGTGCTGGGCAGGCGGTGGTTTCGCTTTTGAATGGGAGCCGAGCTCAGCTCCCATCTGCAGTGGCCAGCCGCCATCTTAAATTTAACCAGCATCCAATGCCTCCAGCCTATAGATCTCTAGACTGGGTTTTACAGACGTTATAGATCTATAGGCTGAGGCAATGCATTCTGGGCAGGTACAGATGGCAGATGGGAGCTGCCTGCCTAAAAGAGGAGTCTGGGGGCCCAGCAGGGAGGTAAAGTTGGTGATGGGCTCTTCTGAGAAACTTGGAAAACTGATAGGGCATTTGCTGAGAAATAATCTGAAAAGCCCAGATGAGCAACTAGCTGCCAACAAGGACCACATTTTGAAGGACTAGCAAGCCTGGATTTCTCCCTTACTTCTGCATGGACCCGGATAAAGGCAAAAGGGACTTTACCCCTTCCAACTCCTATGCAAACAGCATGGGCAAAGGTCTCCCGTTGCATCCTTTGGTAAAGGGACCCCTGACCATTTGGTCCAGTCGTGACTGACTCTGGGGTTGCGGCGCTCATCTCGCTTCACTGGCCGAGGGAGCCGGCGTACAGCTTCCAGGTCATGTGGCCAGCATGACTAAGCCGCTTCTGGCGAACCAGAGCAGCGCACAGAAACGCCGTTTACCTTCCCGCCGGAGCGGTACCTATTTATCTACTTGCACTTTGACTTGCTTTCGAACTGCTAGGTTGGCAGGAGCACGGACGGCACGGCAGCTCACCCCATCATGGGGATTTGAACCGCCGACCTTCTGATCGGCAAGTCCTAGGCTCTGTGGTTTAACCCACAGCGCCACCTGCTTTGGTACTCGCTGCCATTTGCCTGTGTCCTGATTAATGTATATGTAAGAGGGAGCAGAAGAGCATACGGTGAGGGACAGAAGCGAATTTAGCCTCCGTCGCTGTTTTCCGTGGGGAGGAGAAAGCCGAAGAGCCTTTGCCTATGCCAAAACACAGGAAGTGGCTGAGGTGCAATGTTAAGTGCAAAGGAAGCTGCCTTATGCAGATTCAGACCATTGGTCCATCTATCTCAGTACTGTTTCCACTGACTGGCAGCAGCACTCCAGGATTCCAGGCAGGGGGCTTTTCCCAGCCCTGCCTGGTGATGCTAGAGATTGAAGCTGGGACCTTCTGCATGCAAAGGTGGGGTTTTGTCGCCCTGATCCAAGGAAGTGTCTTTAGGAGCAAGGATACAAGGTTGGGGAAGTAGGAGGGATGAAAAACTGCTGGCATCTGTAACTTGGCCCTATTTTAATGCCCGTTTTCTACTACTCGAGAGTAGAAAGAGCACGACTGGAAAACTCTTGCTTTAGTTCCAAGTTTGTTTCAAAAATAAATTAATCCTTTGAAAACACACACATGTACACTAATCTCATTATTTGAGAATGCCAGGACCAGTTCAAATAGAAGTAAAAAACCCCAGTTGTGTTGAAATTAGTAATGCAACAAGACAAACAAATAAATGCACCATGGAGAACTGGCTCTAGTGAATTTATGCATTTTAATTCCAAACTCTCTCCCAAAGTCAGGCAAAGAGGATGAAGCATGCATAATTCGTTCATTTCTACATATGCGTAAGCTAGGAAATGAGGAAAGTATGTACCCTGCTTTTCATTTATTTTATTTTTTATTAAAGGGATGGGAATGAGGTTGGGGGAGATACGATCAGAGAACATAATGGGGGCAAATGTCCAAGAACCAAATAACACATATGGGGGGGGGGACTTGCTTAAATGGGACATTTTTAATCTGAAAACAAAGCAACCCCAGAGATTCAATCCAGAATGTATTTGTGAAGCTACTCACTGCTTTCCCTTCAGTATAAGGGGTTGCACAGGGCGGGTGCCACCACCGAGAAGGCCCTCTGCCTGGTTCAATGTAACCTCACTTCTCGCAGGGAGGGAACTCCAGAAGGCCCTCAGAGCTGGATCTCAGTGACTGGGTGCTCTAGCGCTTTCACAGCCTTAAGTTAAAGGTAAAGGGAGCCCTGACAGGTCCAGTTGCGGATGACTCTGGGGTTGCGGTGCTCATCTCGCTTTAATGGCCAAGGGAGCCGGTGTACAGCTTCCGGGTCATGTGGCCAGCATGACTCAGCCGCTTCTGGCGAATCAGAGCAGCGCACGGAAATGCCATTTACCTTCCCACCAGAGTGGTACCTATTTATCTACTTGCACTGGTGTGCTTTCAAACTGCTAGGTTGGCAGGAGCTGGGAGCTCACCCCATCGCGGGGATTCGAACCGCCAACCTTCTGATCGGCAAGCCCAAGAGGCTCAGTGGTTTAGAGGCTCACAGCCTTACCCCAAAGCAATTATAAAAATTTGCATATGGCAAATCTTTTGTCCTACCACTAAGTTACAGCTCCTTTTGAAGCAAACCAGCTTTTAACGTATTTTCAGCTCCTTTAAAAGCAGGAATCAATTAATTACCACTTGATCACATGCCAATATAATTTTGTCCATTTTCATTCTCGCAGTTCAAATATTATTTCTGGCATGTGGCAGAGAGAAGCGACTTCAGATACAGAATTTCTCCTCTGATCATGGCGACAGCGAGCATCTCTGCTTTTAGAAGCACATCAAAAACTGCAATACTTAGTATAAATATCCCCTGCTTCTTGTACCAGAAAATCTTGTTTTTTTTTTAAAAAAAAATGTATAGGACTTTAGCGACAGACTGCGGCGACAAATATTTGCATGGCGATCAAAGGAAACACATCTCCCACAGCAAACTAATCCCATCAAACCCACATTCAGACCCCGACTGTCTTAAATACCTGCTTGCATGCGTAACTGCACTCGTCACATCTGAATCTCTTCTCATTTGTGTGGGTCTTCTTATGCTGTCTGAAAGCGTAGCGCTCGTGGAAGACATTTTCACAGTAACTGCACTTCAGCGGCACTTCGATATAGGAGTGGAGGTTTCGCAAGTGGATTTCTAAGGAGAACAGCATCATCGCAATGATCCTTTTGAAAGATGGAGGAGAGCTGCTTCTTTTTTGAAAAGTATTTCTACAGATTACCGTAGTTTTCCGTGTATTAGACGCCCCCATGTATAAGACGCCCCCTTTTTGGGGGGACTCAAATTTTAGAAAACGGGGCGAGATGGCACAGAGTTGTTGAGCTTTTTTTAGGGAGGACTGCCAAAAATCGCTCACCTGCATTGCAAAATCCACCTCTTATCTATCCCCTCACTCGCCACATTGCCACAGCGTCAGCCAATCAACAACACCCCTTGACGCAGCAATCAATGACACGCCCAATAGCCACTAACAGCCGCGGCAGCAACCAATCAGACGTCCACCCTATGCACTACCCATGTATAGGACGGCCCCCACTTTTTAGCATAATTTTTAAAGGGAAAAACCTACACGGAAAAGTATGGTATTTTCCCAGAGAGTTTACATACCCAGAGTCTCCTTGAGCAGATGCATTGATCCAGCACAGCTGAAGAACTATGGGCTTCCAAAATCCAGCCTCAGATAGAGACAGACGCAGAAGCCACAAGACCACAATTCTCACGGTAGCAAATCCAGATTTACCGCTGAGTGTACAACTCAACAGAGATGTGCAGCAAATCATACCTTCACAGCGAGAGCACCTGCATGGTATACCTGTTAGTTCCACTCTAGCTTTTTAAAGGTTTGCACATATAAATCGCCTTCTCAATCCGGCCCACGGACGGTCTGGGAATCAGCGTGTTTTTTCATGAGTAGAATGTGTCCTTTTATTTAAAATGCATCTCTGGGTTATTTGTGGGGCATAGGAATTAATTCATTCCCCCCCCCCCATATAGTCCGGTCCAACACATGGTCTGAGGGACGGTGGACCGGCCCACGGCTGAAAAAGGTTGCTGACCCCTGCCCCATAGAGCTGTTTTTTACCCTGCTATGCTGGCACAACAGCCCCCTAGCAACAGTGGTCTATATGCCATGCAATATTCTTTTAGCTCGCATCTCAGCGTATCAAGCCGCAGCTATGACAAATAACTACCAGGGGTGTTGCAAACATTCACAGAGCTTTTTAAAAAGGGAGAGCCTGTGATCAGATGCTTGCAAGCAGGAACTAGGGGGACCAATCTTTGCTCAGCTTCATAGTAAGCAGGGCTGGGGTCTTCATGGTGCTGAGAACCGCTTCCTCCTTACCCTGCTCCCAAGAGCCCAGAATAGCTACCTGGGACAGCGGAAGGCGGCAGGCACTCCATGTCCCCAAGTACAGCATCCTTCTGCCATTCCATCATTGCCTCTCCGTGCCCTTGGAGGGTAGGCACCGACAGCAGAGGCGGTGGAGAGCTCTGAAATGTCTTTTGCAAGCGCTCAAACCAAGCAATCGCAAAAGCTCCAGCCATTTTGGGTTGAGCAAAGGGCTGCCCAGTGCATCCTTAACGGTACCCGATAGCACAGTCTTATAACATTTTAATTCTATAGCGGCAATTCCAAATGTACTTGAAAAGCTCCTAGTACTATATGGAAATGGCCGAGATGACTGGCAGAATCCGAGATCAGGGAGAAGAGTCGGTGGAAGAAGATTGGAGGAAATTTAAAATTTATTTACAGAAATATTGTAAAATGTATGAATGCTGATGACATTGAAATGAAACGAAGGGGTTCTAGCAATAAGATAGACAAAAATTATAAATTATAAATTTGGGAGGTAAAATAATTAAGGATAAAATAATCGGATATGAATTTGCTGAATCAACTTTCAAAGAGGGATACAAAAAAGGGAGGCGTGAGGAAGTCAGGAAAATAAGTTAATCAAAGATGAGCAATTAGAAAAGAGGGATTTGTGTTTTTCTTTTTGTGTGTTTATTGACTTTTTTCTTTTTCCCGTTAGGTTAAATGTTTGTATTTTTGTATTGTGAAATTTTGTATTGTTGTGTTTTATATTTCCCTTGTGTTTTTATTGTTCTCTGTGTAGTTGTTTTGGATTTCCTTTATTGTTAAACTTAATAAAATATTATTATTTTTTAAAAAAAAGCTCCTAGTTACCAGATTACGACCAAATAATAATAATAATCCCTGCAATGTGAGGGGCTTTTTTCACCTTCATTTGGAAAAGGCTCTGATATACTGTGCTTTGACTTCCACCCCAGCCCCAAAGCAAACCCAGCCATTGCAATAAGATCCCTTTGCTGTAACGTGTGCTATGATTCACTTGGATTCAAAAATAATAATTCTGCTACACTGGCTTAATGAAATTTAAAAGCAGCCAGGGCTTCCAACACTCGTATAATCAATTAGTGTTTGCTATGCAGATATAAGAGTTCAGATGTTAATGGACGCTCTGGGCCAGACCCATGCGACAATAAAAGCCCACAGAAGAGACTCTCCACAACTTCAAAGGAAGCATTCCCTGAATTGATTTTCATTGCCATTCCACGTCCTCTTTCAACTCTCCCTGGACTTGTGCTAAGCGATGCAAAAATAGGAATTAAAAAAATTACCTCCACCAAAAAAAAAAAAAAGTTCCAGGAAAATACAGAAGTTGGGACGCCAATGTTTCTATGATCTACAGCTGAGCTATTCAGACCTTTCTACAAATTGAAAAGGCATGTCTTGATTCTGTTTTTCAGTAGAATAATCACGTATACTAATAGCGATCTCTGCTCTCCAAGCAACCTTAACAAACTACAGCTCCCAGAATTCTTGTCAGTGGTTTGATACTGCTTTAAATGTACCACACAGTTGGGATCTTTGTTTCAGGCCTCACCTCTCCTACATTATCTTAATTCTGCCCAATGCCTTATAGCGTCACCTTCCATTTCTTGCACCGACAATTGGGGAACGCAAATCAAACCCCAGTTACCCAGGGGGCGATTCTTCCCTCCTTCCTGCGCACATGTCTGTTATGCTATTCCGAAACCGGGTGCAAGTCAAGAGTTGAGATCTAGGACTAATAATCTTGTGATCCAATGCCCACAATAAAGGTAAAGGGACCCCTGACCAATATGTCCAGTCGTGACTGACTCTGGGGTTGTGGCGCTCATCTCGCTTTATTGGCCGAGGGAGCTGGCGTACAGCTTCCAGGTCATGTGGCCAGCATGACTAAGCCGCTTCTGGCGAACCAGAGCAGCGCACGGAAACGCCGTTTACCTTCCCGCCGGAGTAGTACCTATTTATCTACTTGGACTTCATGCTTTTGAACTGCTAGGTTGGCAGGAGCAGGGACCGAGCAACGGGAGCTCACCCCGTCGCGGGGATTTGAACCGCCGACCTTCTGATCAGCAAGTCCTAGGCTCTGTGGTTTAACCCACAGCGCCACCCGCGTCCCACAATAGGCATATGTTATATTCTGCCATTTCTATTCATAGTGTCTTACAATTCCACGGGGAAAAAGGTACACTCAAGACCAAGGTTTAAGTGGGTTCATGAGACACCAACCCCAATCAGACTGGATAGATAGATAGATGGATGCTAGATAGATAGATGATAGATGCTAGATAGATAGATGATAGATGCTAGATAGATAGATGATAGATAGATAGATAGATAGATAGATAAACAAACACACACACACACACAAACACACACACAGGTTTTCCACCCCCATAATGCTAGGCTGGCCTAGCATTAAGAAAAAGCACTGTCTTCAGCTGTTCTTCCACTTTTGATGAATTTCAAGGAAGGAAACCTCAACTTAGCTTTATGGGTCCCCATCCCATCCCACCCCCCTTGTCAGACTAGCAACATTGCCCAGGACCCACACCAAAGACACACTTTCATTGACTCTGTGGATTAGAACACAGCCACAAATGTTCCTGCAATTCAGAACCACCACAAGGTGGTGCCAGTTCTCTTTGCTACAAACAGAAATTGTGGAAAGTTGCCTAGTCTTGCAGGCCTTGTATTGCTCCTGCGTAAAAACCTCCCTTGGAATAATCAGAAAAGCTAGGGGTAGCAGAGTTTGAGGATGCAAAAGCACCCACAACTGCTGGAGTATGCCAGAAATTAATAAATGGTAGAATTCAGATAATATTCAGAGTACAGTGGACGCCTGGGTTGCGAACGTGATCCGTGCGGGAGGCACGTTCGCAACCTGCAGCGCTGTGTCTGCATGGGTCGCGATTTGGTGCGCAAAGTGTGATTTAGTGCTTCTGCGCGTGCGCCGAAACCTGGAAGTAACCCGTTCCGGTACTTCCGGGTTTTGGCGTGTCCGTAACCCGAAAATGCGCAACCTGAAGCGTCTGTAACCCGAGGTATGACTGTATTGAAGGGAAGACGCCAGACCTCAGATTTAAAACAGAGGCTGAACCAATTCTCCTGTTTGGGAGATCAGTGATAGCAATGCCATTAAGAACAGGAGGAGAACTAAGTACCCGGGCCATTAAAGAACAATTTACCAGGCAGGGGCTGCTGCCTGTTAGTCAACAGAAGGAAAGGCAGCTGGGAGAGTGAGGTCACACAGGGAAAATGTGCCCTTTTTGAAAAACAGAGGGGAGGGGAGACAGATGGGGAGAAGTGGCTTGAAGCAAGCATCCTTGGGAAGGAGGAAGGTGGAGCCAGGGACCCGCAGGTGGAACCACCTTGGCAGGCTGGGACACGGAGACAGCATGTAGGATGCCTTGGACTCCAACGTTGCACCGCTGTGGCAAACAAGCCCCTCTTGAGATCACGCCCTGAACTCTCTCCAAAGCAGACCCACCCAGGTGCAAATATAATAATAATAATAATAATAATAATAATAATAATAATAATAATAATTATTTATACCCTGCAATCCCCGGGCAGAGCTGGGCTCAGGGCAGCTAACACCAATAAAATAAAATCACAGCAAAAACATAATGGGGGGGGGAGAGCGAGGGGGGAAAAACGCAATTTAAACTACAGGTTAAAATGCAATTTAAAATGCAGCCTCATTTTAAAATACCTGATAAATCAAGACCATAAGGGAAGGGAAACATAAGGGTCAGACCGAGTCCAAACCAAAGGCCAGGGTCTTGCAGGCCCTGCAGAAAGATGTCAAGTCCCGCAGGGCCCTAGTCTCTGGTGACAGAGCGTTCCACCATGTTGGGGCCAGTGCTGAAAAGGCCCTGGCCCTAGTTGAAACCAATCTAACCTCCTTGAGGCTCGGGACCACCAAAGTGTTGTTATTTGTGGACCTTAAGGTCCTCTGCAGGGCATACCAGGAGAGGCAGTCCCGTAGGTATGTGGGTCCTAGGCCGCATGTGTGCAATAAACCCTATTTCTTAAAAGACAATAGTCTCCGCTGTGCCTTGATTTCCCAATGGAACCAAAATCCTGGGGACGCCCTGGAACCCTGCTCCCGCTTGGCAGAGATTGGGGGAGGCACGCCACTTGCATAACTAGGCTGGGTCAGACCAGTTTAGTCTACACTTGCTCTCTGGGATTTCAGACAGACTTCTCTACTAGTGATACCTGCAGCTGCCCAAGGCTGAACATGGCACTTCCGCATGCAAAGCAGTTGATCTACCGATGAGTAGACCGGACTACATCTGTTTGCATTTGGGAAAGAAAGTAAGAAGTTCTCCTGGAAGTTCACCAGCTTTTCGGTGCAATTCCCCCGCCCCCCAATATACAATTTGTCTATTCAATTGTGCCTAGCACACACATTCCTGCAAAGCAATTTATTTGTTTATATCCTGCTCTTCAGTGAAGCTGCTCTTCAGTGAGTATTTTCAACCCCAGAGCTGGAAACAAACAAACAAAAAATGAGAGAAATTTCGATGGGAGAATTTCATAAGCATCTTGGACTCAACTGATTTGTACATGCATTGGAATAATGCTTGCTGGCCTCTTCAAAAAGCCTTCTTGCTGCTCTCATTTGAGAAATCAGGGTTTGCCTGCTGCAAAGATTTCAAGCTAGGTATTCATTTGGAACCAATGAGCCAGACTAACACTATATCTGGGGCAGCAGTTTCTTAAGTTAAAATGATGCCAAGCCTAATTCTCCATCGATTTCAAAGAACGCTTAAAAATAAAGAGGTAATGGGACTTACTTAAATCACCCTTTCTGGCCACAGACGTGTTACAGTGTGGACACTGGTATTTTGGCACATTTTCCTCGTGTTTGTGCAACATGTGGAACTTCAGAGTTCCAGCCTGAGTGAACCTGGCCTTGCAAATCTGACACTCAAAGGGTTTTTCACCTGGGAGGAAAAAGATGAAAGATGTGAATTAGCAAGCAAAATGTCATAGCTGGAAAACTGCGGTGATGTTTTACACACGCACTTCTTCCTTTTTGTTTTACTCCTGATTTTACTGCTGTTGTAAATGTCAGGTGTGTATTTCTCCTCTATAGCATCTTTAACATGTATTAATTCCATTTAGATTTCAAGATTTCTGGTTTGTCTGCTTGATTCATCCCACGTTAATCGCACAGAATGGGAACAGGTGCCACATTATACTCGCAACACGTCACAGAATCACAGAGTTGGAAGGGGCCACGAGGGTCATCTAGTCCAACCCCCTGCAATGCAGGAGTCTTTTGCCCAACATCGGGCTCAAACCCATGACTCTGTGATTAAGAGTCTCGTGCTCTACCAACCAAGCTATCCAACATAATAAGTGGTATATAAGTTTCGTCAATTAATTAAGTAAGTAAAACTTAGCTGAATGCCACCCATTGATTTTAATTTACCCGTGATGGACTATATGGAACTGGCAGAAATGACCGGCAGAATCCGAGACCAGGGAGAAGAGTCGGTGGAAGAAGATTGGAAGAAATTTAAAGACTATCTACAGAAATATTGTAAAAATAATGAATGTTAGAATGATGTTGGATAAAAAGTTAAGTGGGTTTTAGCTATAACGCTATAAGGAATATGAAAAAATGGATTATTAACAGGTAAAAATTTAATGTTACAATATTTTAAGATTAAAGACTAGGATAAACAAAGAGGGAAAGGATTTGCTGAACTAATAAATTGAATTGGAATTAAAAAAAGGGAGGTGTGAGGAGGTCCGGGAAACAAGCAAATGAAAGATAAGTGATGGAAAGATGGAATTGTTTTTTAACTATTTTTATTTTGTATTTTTCTTTTTTCATTTTGTAATACTTTGAAAATTTTAATAAATATCCGATTTTAATTTACCCAACGAGAGTTTTAGATTCAGGAGGCAAGCTTCTAGGTCACACAGAACCCTTCCTCAACTTAATGTTGAAGAGAAAACAACTGTTTCTGTGCAGATCGTGGATGTCACCCAGCTAACTCATACCTGCAGTTGGAGAGTGTGGTTTGGAGCCAACACTTATCTAGGATATAAACAGGACACGTTGGTAGGATCTGGAGTTACGCCTTGGTGTTCCACCGGCTACGCCAATACCTCCCTCTTGTTTTTCATTGGCCCTGAGTTGACTTCTATCCTGTTGGCACTGAGCACCTGAGTTTGCTATCAGCGGGAACGAAGACAGTTCTGTATATTTCCCCTCCAACTGTTCCCCAGGGAGTTTCTTGCCCTTTCCTCCTTCTACGGCCCGGCACTGTCTAAGACTCTAAGCTCATAGAGGGAGGCATCACTCCCCTCCTTCAGTGAAATATTTCCATGACAACTGTCGCATTCCTAATTCTTACCAGAGTGAGTGACCATATGCCTCTTCAGCTTGTAAGTGTCCCTGCTAGCATAGGTGCAAAGGGTGCAGTTGTACGGGCGCTCTCCTGTATGCGAGCGAATGTGACGCTTCAGCTTGCTGGCCTGTGGTTACCGACGGGAAGAAATTAAAAAGCATGATAGCGCCAGGCACCCTGCCAGAATAACTCATCACTAAAAAAAAAAATTAAGTTCGCTACTACAAGTGTTATAAATGTCAGTGATTGCCATCATGACAAATGGTTGGAAATTCCAAACTTTTTTAAAAAAAATAAAATAAAATATTAGGTTTAGTTTTCCCCTGAGCTGAGAGTAAACTGGTGGAACTCACCACTTCATATTACAGAATGGTAACTTGGCTGGTTTTGTATCTGTTTTAAGACTGCATGTTATTGCCAAATGAAACAGATTAAGTTACAGTGGTACCTCAGGTTAAGAACTTAATTCGTTCTGGAGGTCCGTTCTTAACCTGAAACTGTTCTTAACCTGAAGTGCCACTTTAGCTAATGGGGCCTCTTGCTGCCATTGCGCCGCCAGAGCACGATTTCTGTTCTTATCCTGAAGCAAAGCTCTTAACCCGAGGTACTATTTCTGGGTTAGCGGAGTCTGTAACCTGAAGCATCTGTAACCCGAGGTACCACTGTATTTCTCCCGGTAGTTCTGGGGAATCTGTGGCCTTTCAAATCTTGCTGGACCTCCCATCGTCCCTGATCGCTGCCTACACTGGCTGGGGCCAAGGGGAAGTAAAATCCATGATGTTTTTCAGTACAGTCGTAACTCGGAAGTCGAACAGAATCCATTCTGGAACGTTCGACTTCCAAAGCGCAGCTTCTGATTGGCTGCAGGAAGCTCCTGCAGCCAATCGGAAGCCGTGGAAGCCCTGTCGGATGTTCGGCTTCCAAAAGAATGTTTGAAAACCAGAACACTCACTTCCGGTTTTCACTCATTCGGGAGCCGGAACATTCAACTCCCAAGGCATTTGGGAGCCGAGGTACGACTGTATAGGCATAGATGAACCAACGACCTGGTTCCCTATGAATCAGCAACCTCTGTTCCTATTGCTGTCTTATTTTGCATTGTCTTGTTGGCTGTTCCCACCGGTCTGCCACACATAAGCCACCCGCAAAGCTTTAGCCACGTAAATGTTGCAAACGAATAGTGAACGTCGCAGGCGAAGGAATAAAAGTGAGCGTGCACATTGCAAGTGGCAGGTGCCTCTCTCGGAAAGCGTCCTTCCCTCTGAAAAGCAAAACAGAAGCCTGTCCTCTTTACCAAGTACGGCACTCGAAGCGGTTCTCCTGCAAGCGCCGCACTTACCTCCACACTACAATAGTTGCAGAACGAGCACTTGAAGGGCTTCTCGAGGGTGTGCTTGTACCGCCTGTGCCGCGAAAGCTCGCCGCTGGTCACGAAGGCCATGTCGCACTCGCTGCACTTGTACGGCTTAGTCCCTGTCGGGAGAAACCAGACGTGAGGAGGGGGCTGTCGGCGGCTGCTGGCCGGGGCAGCTACGCTCTGCCCCTGCAGCTGAAGGCAGCGATGGGCCGCTGGGAACTGCAAGAGGGGAGAACTCTCTTGCTCTCGTGTTCTGCTCGCTGGTTTCCCATAATGAGCATCCGTTTGACCCCCACGAGAGCAAGATGCTGGACTCCCCTGGACTACTGCAATGCACTCTACGTGGGGCTAACCCCCCTTTTTTTTTTTTTGCATTTTATTCATTTGTTAACATTCTTACATTATATCGGTAAATGTTGTCATATTACATTACAGGACTTAAGGTAAAGGTAAAGGGACCCCTGACCATTAGGTCCAGTCGAGGCCGACTCTGGGGTTGCGGAGCTCATTTCACTTTACTGGCCGATTAAGCCAGTGTACAGCTTCCGGGTCATGTGGCCAGCATGACTAAGCCGCTTCTGGTGAACCAGAGCAGCGCACGGAAACGCCGTTTACCTTCCCGCTGGAGCGGTACCTATTTATCTACTTGCACTTTGACGTGCTTTCGAACTTACTATAATTTCCAACACATATACATAAATTATATACAAATTTTATATACCTAGAAAGAAAATGAAACAAAACAAAAAAGAGAGAAAAAACAAAAACAACCCCCCCCCAAATCATATACATACCCACACACTAGACTTCCTGTCTTTCCCGCTGTATATTCCTTTTTTTACAAATGAATGTACTCTTATTATTGTATTTTTCTTTACATATTGTCTAATACATTCCTATATCAATATGTGCTCTTAGTCTTATTTCTCAACTCAGTCTCATTCCGTCATAGGTAGTGAACCTTTACTGTATTTTTGAACATATGTTTTTTATCTATCCCACTTTCCCATAAATTTTTGTTTTGAATTGCCTCTCAGGGCATTTCTTAACTGCGCCATTTCAGCAAATTCTTGTAGCTTGTAATGCCAGTCCGTTATTGTCGGGGTTTCTTGTTCCTTCCACCCCTTTGCCTCACGTTGGGCTAACCTTTGAAGGCGGCTCAGAAACTGCAGTTAATCCCGAATGCGGCAGCTAGACTGGCGACCGGGAGCAGCCGCCCAGGACCATATCACACCAGTCCTGAAAGATCTATGTTGGCTCCCAGTTTGGCTCCCAATTTGTCGGAAGCCAATCCGTACCTGTGTGCGTGTTCACGTGGTTACGCAAGAGGGAGACGGTCCGGAAAGCCTTAAGGCACAGGTGGCAGAGGTGGGGCTTTTCCTCAGAGTGCTTTTTTACGTGGCGATGAAGGCCTGACGCGCTGAAACAGGCGAACGCGCACAAACTGCAACGGTGCAGTGCATCCCCTAGGAGAATGCAGCTGGTTTCAGGTCAAATAAGCCACAGACAGGATCCTCTGCACCACTGGTGCAGAAGTTAAAACAATCTCCCCCCCACCATCAACTGCAAAGGCAGCTGCCTCTTTCTGGGGTGGCCTTTCCGTGAGTCAGCCTGCAAATATCTCCTGGTGGCCTGGATGAGCTGAGCAAATTTGTCCTCTTCGCCAGTGATTCATGCCCACACAAACAATCTTTCACTAGCTCCGAGTTTACCAAGGACGTTTCCTCCACAAAAGTTAAGCCCAAACAGGATAAAAGTAGTGAACTTTCCCCTTCCTCCACCATTAACTTCTTTTTGCCTTAATAACAAGCACTATGGAAACAACAAACCGCTCGGTAGGCTGAGGGCACATATTATGAACTGCGAAAGTGGGTCGGCAACGAGACGCATGCACTTTTAATACGGCCACCCTCCCCCTCAGTGCGAATCCTGCGTTCTCCTTCCCCTAAGAACAGCCCTGCTGGATCAGCCTAAAGGTCTATTCAGTTCCAGCCTTCTCTTTGGACAACCAAATGTCTCTGAGAAGCCCACCGTCAGGGAACTGTTACTCACCAGGGTCTGGCATTCAAACAGGTGCTCCCTCTGGTTCTGCAGCTAATATGACCCCCCCCTCGCCCCCCGTTGGAGTCCCACTGGCCTGTTGTCTTGACTAACACCAGGCACTCTGGACAGCTTCCAACATATATAAAAACATAATGAAACATCAAACATTAAAAAAAGCTTCCCTATACAGTGGTACCTCGGGTTAAGAACTTAATTCGTTCTGGAGGTCTGTTCTTAACCTGAAACTGTTCTTAACCTGAGGGACCACTTTAGCTAATGGGGCCTCCCACTGCCGCCGCATGATTTCTGTTCTCATCCTGAAGCAAAGTTCTTAACCTGAGGTACTATTTCTGGGTTAGCGGACTCTGTAACCTGAAGCGTCTGTAACCCGAGGTACCACTATACTGGGCTGCCTTCAGAAGTCAGCTAAAATTGTATAGTTACTTATCCCCTTGGCTCGGGGTTTGCATAGCTCCATGCCCTCCAACATTTCTCCTATGAAAATAGGAACATCCTAAGGGAAAGCGGGACATTCTGGGATCAAATCAGGAACCGGGACGGCTTCTGTAAATCTGGGACTGTCCTTGGAAAGCAGGGACACTTGGAGGGGCCGAAGTACCATGCATGAATGAATAACTATGCATAAGAAAGAACAGCAAAATAACAACATCCCCTAAAACAGCGGTTCTCAACCTGTGGGTCCCCAGATGTTGTTGGACTACAACTCCCATCATCCCTGAGCTCTGGCCTTGCTAGCTAGGGATGATGGGAGTTGTAGTCCAACATCTGGGGAGCCACAGGTTGAGAACCGCTGCCCTAAAAGGTGCCCAAGTAGCTGTCCAACTGGATCTGAACAAGGGTCCACCTACCCCAATTTCCTAACAACAGTTGTCCAAATAGCAGGCACCATCAAAGAACCAGAAGCCCTTACAACAAACTGTATTTACACAGGAAGGGCAATATACACTGTTGTGCAGGCGACTCCTTACCTTCTTGCCTGTTGCTGTGGGCTTTCATGCCAGCATTGGTGCTTGTCACAACAGGACGCTGTTTTGATGCAGGCGCCTCGCTCAGGTCCTTGTTTTCAGAGCTGTGGCACAGAGAGGCACCTCTTTTCATTCTGCCGCTCAGAGGTTTTGCCTCCTCCATCGCAAGGGAATGGCCAATTCCGTCTTCCTCCACTACAAAGAACTGCTGGTCCTTGCCACCAGCTGCAATTGCATATTTACTTCTATCCTTCTGCTTTCAAGACAAAAAAGGAGAAAGAGCATTAACTCAAAATGTGACGAATCGTAGGCACACAGCACACAGCTCCAGACGGGTGATTCGCTTCTCGGCCTTTTGGCCAAGATCAAGAGAAGTGTGCAGACTGATGGTTCCATCCCAGGCAAAAATTTGCGGAGAACGTTGGAACTCTTCTTAAGTCACGACTCCTAACACTGAGCACTGCCTGGCAAGGCTTAATGCACCAGTGGAGCTTATGTTACGCTTGCAGCAGCTGCTGGGCATGCCGACCAGGGTAGCGGGCAGCGGGCAGGCAGACTGCTGTACCAGCACATGACAGCAGTGGGGCCAACTTGAGATCCAATGGGTTTTAGGGTGGATGCAAAGCACAGTAGCAAGACTAAGGGTACCTAAAGGTTGCCAATCAACATAGTTGCACCGTTTTTAAAAGGAAATAATTGTAGGAAATATTACAGTATAGAGGAACTGTATTTAAATAACCACCCTCCCACCTAATAATAATAATAATAATGATGATAATATATTTATACCCTGCCCATCTGGCTGGGTTTCCTCAGCCACTCTGGGCAGCTCCCAAAATAATATGAATAATAATACAATGGTACCTTGGGTTACAGACGCTTCAGGTTACAGACTAACCCAGAACTTTGCTTCAGGATGAGAACAGAAATTGCACAGCGGCAGCGCGGCAGGCCCCATTAGGTAAAGTGGTGCTTCAGGTTAAGAACTGTTTCAGGTTAAGAACGGACCTCCGGAACAAATTAAGTTCTTAACCTGAGGTACCACTGTAATAAAAAGCGACAAAACCCAAACATTAAAAACTTCCCTAAACAGGGCTGCCTTCAGATGTCTTCTAAAAGTCAGATAGTTGTTTATTTCCTTGACATCTGATGGGAGGGCGTTCCACAGGGCGGGTGCCATAACCAAGAAGGCCCTCTGCCTGGTTCCCTGTCACCTCACTTCTCGCACTACCGTCGGTTTCAATTTCCTTGATTTAAATCAATCCGCCCTGGACAGAAAGCCAGTGCAATCCCCTTTGCTTCCAAAAGGTCTGAAGCATATTGCTATCCAGGTTCTCCCACAGCTGCCTTACCGACTGCACATGAACCCGAAGGGCGTCCAGGGTCTTCTCCGCTGACCTTTCACCTCCGTGATTGAACGCCTGCACTTCTTTCAGGCCGTGGGTGTGCACCCCTTCCGTTTCATGGATTGCATAGAAAACCTCCGGCAAACTTATCACCAGGCTTTCCTCTTCTGCAGCTTCGCTCTGTGGGACCACCTCCAAAGGATGCAGGATGCTTGCCTCTCGTTGGGTCAAGGTGTGCTGATGGGCAGGAGGAGCCCCCTGGAAATCATCCTCACCTTCCTTCAAATGTACCGTCTTCAGCAAAACGAGGCTTTCCCCTCCCTCTCCTGAAGAAGGGGGCAGCTGCGTATCTGAACCCTCTTCCAGCTGTACTTCTTCTCTGCCAATCTTCCTCACCCTTTCGGAACCTTTGATTTTAGTGAACTGCTGACCGATTGCTGCATCGTCCATTGCTGGGCTCAGGAGATGGATGCTACCAGGGAACAAAGTTTCTCCAGGTTAGAGAAGCACCACGGAGGTCATGGGGCCAAAGCATTCCGTCCTTCGCAGCGACCGACCCCAGAGGTAAGAGGGGTGTTTGGAGGGAATGCTTAATAGGACCGGCTGGCAGGCCGCTTGCAAGTCGGGGAAGGGGCTCTCCAGCCCTCTATTTTTCACCCTCCCCCAAAACAGAACTTTGCTTAAAAAACAGGGGGTGCTGAGTTGGGATCCCCCTCCCCCATGTTTAGGCCATTTCCCTATCTTTTCTGCTTCTGTTACTTTCAAAATAAAACCTAAAAACTTGAATGTCGATCTCATTCCAAAATGAATGAAAGGGGTTAAGTTTGCTGCATGTACTGTATTAAAAGAAAACATCATGAAAATGATGTATAGATGGTACTTAACCCCACTAAAATTGGCAAAGATCTGCCATATGAATGATAATATATGTTGGAAATGTAGAGAAAAAGATGGTACCTTTTTTCATATGTGGTGGACGTGTCCCAAGGTGAAAGACTTCTGGGAAAAGATTTATAATGAATTGAAAAAAATGTTGAAAAACACATTTATTAAGAAACCAGAGGCATTTCTACTTGGAATAATAGGAATGGAATTGCCCAAAAAAGATGTTAGACTATTTTTGTATGCCACCACAGCAGCAAGACTGCTATTAGCTAAAAATTGGAAATCCCAAGAAATCCCAATGGTGGAAGAATGGCAGATGAAGATGTTGGACTTTTTGGAGCTAGCCGACCTGACTGGAAGAATCCGCGACCAGAAAGAAGAGGAATATCAAGAAAACTGGAAGAAATTTAAGGACTATTTAACTAAATATTGTAATATAAATAATTAGAAGTCACTTGAAAGTACCAAACAGGCCGAGGATTAAAATAAGATTCAATTGTAAGTAATTTGGATTTAGAATATTAAGAAAAAAGAAGATAGGTAATTGTTGGAAATAATTTTAGTTGAAGAATGATATTGGAGAGCTGTTATATGCAGATACAATGAAATTCAGAAGGGAGGGATTCGAGGAAGTCAATTAACAATGTAAGAGATAATTTGGGTTTTTCAAGTGATATGTGTTTTATTTATTTTTTTGTTTTCTTTTTTAGTATTGTAAGGTGTCTTCTCTTGTGTGTTTTCTTTTCTTTTTTCTATGTGATATTTGTTATAATTGTGAAAAACTTAATAAAAATTATGGGGGGGGGGGAGAAATGACGGTACAGATACAGGATATAAATTGTGGCTGATGGGTCCACACCGCTTCCTAAACCAGCCATGGGAACACACAGGGTGCAGAGTAAACGGGAGTGTGTACACAGCCTAAATTCCAGACTGGTGTTTGTTGTGGAATTGTTGCTTCTAATGCATGCAAAGGTTTTTTTGCTGGAGCTTTCGTTTTTGTTTTGTTAGCATCCAGTGGGAAAACACAGGCATGGCACCATCCAATCGACTGTAAACAACATGCAGGTATTTGACAGCCCTCTTCCCCAAATAAACACAGATGCATCACTGTGGAAAGGATAAGGTTCGACCAAACACCCTGTACTCACATTGGACCCATTATCCATAGCATTATTTAGTACATGAACATACAGCCTGAAAGCAAGACAGAAAAGCAGGTATTTTCAAAAGCCCCACACCCTAATTTCCTCTGCCTTCTCTACCCATTTTCCTTCTGTTGGATCCACCCAAAATGCTTTTAATACCAAATTAGAGCTGAAAATTCCAACTAGTATCCTAATCTAATGCCAGGGATAATGCACCCTTTTATTCAGTTCCAAACTATCCCTAAATCATCTGTACTGTGCTACGACCCTGAACCTCTTCTGCCAACTCACACAGCCCCTTTTTCCTCAGCTACAAGGTAATTTCTGATTCAGGCTCCACTTTCTGAGTTTGTTCAGTTGCCTGCAATAAGTAAAAAAAAAAAAAATCCCGCAAATGAACACACAGGAATTGTGTGTGTGTTGAAAGAGATGCGTTTCTTCCCTCCTTCTAGTTAAGTTCTTATATTAACCTTCAGTACATTAAAAACGCTACCAAAAATCTACAGAGGCTTGTGTGCATTTTTGAAAGGTGGCTCTAATCTCGTAATCCAAACCTAGACATCTCACTTTAATCATTTCTCTCTTCGGCTGGAGGAGCCCCAGCCCAGACTATCCTTCTAATGACACTGCCCACCAAGAATTTATTACTGATAGCAACCTCTTCAATGCTCATCTTGCATATGCGCCATCCCATATTTTGCTCTCTTCCCCCCCCTAAACTCAAATACAGCACTCCCCCATGGTAATTCCTCTACCTGACTTGCAGTTCCCGTATTATCTCAAACCCTAAACCTTTCTAATTCCAATCCCATCCTGAAATATTGCTTCCCAGCCCCCGGACACCTTTTAAGAACGTAAGACAAGCCTGAAAAATCCAGAGCTCAGAGCAGCCAACAAGATGGTTTGTGGGAAGCCTGCAAAGCAACAGCACTCGGCCTTTCTTGGAAGTGAGTGCTGCTAACTTCCTTATTTATTTGTTTACTCAACTGGTTTAGGCCTCCCATCAACATGTTCTCTGGGCCTACTACAGAAATGATAAGAAAATCCACTGTACCCACTAGCAACAGTGTGGCTCATGTGGTTTTTGTTTTGATTGTGTATTTTTTGCTTTGATTGTGTATTTTTTGTTGTTGTGAATCGCCCTGCAAACTACTGATGAAGATTGGTATACAAATTTAATAAATAATAATGTGCGCTGACTGTACATGCATGCATGCTTTTTTGCTCTGTGCACATAAGACTAGCACATTGCGGCTGCAAATCACGATCTGCGCCTGACTTCACATCAATCCGTGCACACCTTGGATCAATGGATTACACCAGATCTTTAAAAATGTGAGGTTGCTCAAAACCCATTTGTATTGAAATCAGTAGAACATGCTCCAAAGGCTTGAGAGCGGGAAGATCCAGGCTGCAGACCTATGCACGCTTTACCCCACAGGAACAAGCCCAACTGAATTCCGTGGGCCTTACTCTTGAGTAAACACGCATTTGAGATTGCAGTATTTTTCGGTCCGATTCACCGGCATCATGGTGAGTGCCCACAAGATTGAAACCTTGATCCCCATACAGATTTACTCGGAAGTAAATTCCACCAAGTTCAAGCACACAATCCTTTCCCCACGCTTACTTAGGGTGAAAGCTTACTTCCAAGTAAGCATGCATAGGATCGGGGCCCCACCCTGCATCTTTCTAGTCTGCTCCCGTCCTATTCTTTATCCGGGATGACGGGATCACTCCGATTCCCTCGAAACCCCCCCCCCCAATATCGCCATTAGCAATCGCAAATTCCTTTCAACTCTCCATTTGTCTCTTGTTCACCGCTGCCCCACTTTGCAATTATCACCCATACCCGGCATCTCACCCCTCATTCCCTCCCTGGATCTCACCCCCTTGGGCCTGCAGGGGGCCTCCCCTTCCGTCCTCACCCCCCAAGAAGCGCCAGACGCCCCCGCGTTCATCCAGCAAGGCGCAATCCGCGCGGATCTGGCTGGTCTCTCCCGGCTGCCTTGCGCAAGCAAACGTTGCAACAACCAGCGAGCCCGGGGATGCGATGCCAAGGCGCGCGCCAAGCAGACTCTGCAAGGCGTGATCAGACATCCGAGGGCAGTTTGCACAGGTCCAGCTGCACCTCTGCAGATCCAGGCACGCGGCTCGCCATTGATGCGAAAGAAGCACTATCCTGTGCCTAGGATCGCGGTTGCCCGCCTGCAGCCTCACTTGCGCACGGAGGCGCCGTTTAAACTCAGTGGGGCTTGCGCAGGGTTGGAGTGCAAGGTTGCAGCCGCAGTTAACTAGGAGTAAAGTGGCATGCGGTGTAAACGGGTTTGCTTGGGGGAAAACCAAAACCCTGTGCGCGCTTTAAATCCCGCATCAATGGGATTGCGCCTCCAAAGGACGCCTGGGTGGGTTCAGGCATGCGGGAACCCAGATGTTGTTAGGCTGCCACCATCCCAGAATGGGCAATGCTGGGAAGGAGAGTACACCAGCTGGAAGCCGCAGCCTCCCCGTCAGCCGCTGCAAAACGCTTCTGCGAGTGGATCAAGGGCCTACCACCAAAGCTATGCACATTTTGCACGGGGCGCACAGAACCGCGAGAGACAACCTGAGAAAACGCTCAGCTTGCATTATGGCTGAGAGGCGGGGAGCAACTGGAACAGCCTCCATCAGTCTGGCATTCTCCATATGTTTCGGACTGCCTGATAGGAGTAGCAGAAGCAAACCATTACTCCTTTTAAGGGCAGGCAGTCCAAATATTGCTCCCATCAGGCCCTGCCAGTGTGATCAGGGATGATGGGAGTTAATCCTGGCTAGAACAATGAGCCTTCTGCACGGCAACATTCTTGCAAGCTCCACTCGTTCTCTTTCTGTGGCATTCCCAAGCAAGGAGCTGCCTAGCCTCTTTCCTGTTACCTATTTGTGAAATTAGTCCCCGTTAGTCCGTGTTTTGGAGGCAGCAATAACTAACATGTCACAATTTTCTTGACCTTCGCCTCTGTTTTCTAAGTGTTTTCATTTGAAATCACTTCTGCCGGTTTGTGTTGAAATGGCCTGTTGGAAGATATCTCCAGAGAGGGAGAGAAAGAGTTTTATAAGAGAGAAAATTTAACTGGCCAATCCTCTGCAAGCCTTGTCACTCACTAGCTGCTGCTTTTTATAGTTGCATTGATCTGTATTCTAGGAGGTTGCTTAATGCAACTCAATCCAGCACGTAAGTGGTCCTGTTCTCAGTGGTTGGTGGCCTCACCAGTCCTAGTTGCCGTATCTGTTTATGATACCCTGCTTGCAGATAAGAGAAGCAAGGAGCCTCAGGGCGCATGTTAAAAGAACAGAAGAAGAGCTCTGCAGGATCAGACCAAAGGACCATCTAGTCCAGCATCCTTGAGAGATGCGGGTGGCGCTGTGGTCTAAACCACTGAGCCTCTTGGGCTTGCCAATCGGAAGGTCGGCGGTTCAAATCAGGGCTGTAGCTGGGTGTGTGTGAGGTGCCCCCCACAAAATTAGCTAACATATGTCCATAAATATGTCTATAAATAAAAATATTGATTATTCCATCATAAGAAAAGGTTTTAAATAGAGGGTGAATGGAATGGGGGGGGGGGAGAGTTGGAAGAGAGGTGGAAAGAAGAGCTAATTTGTCTGTGGTTAGGGGGCGCAATCTGGACGGTTCTGCCAGGGGCGCAAGATCACCTAGCTACAGCTCTGGTTCGAATCCCCGCAACGGGTTGAGCTCCTGTCGCTCTGTCCCAGCTCCTGCCAACCTAGCAGTTCGAAAGCACACCAGTGCAAGTATATAAATAGGTATCGCTGTGGTGGGAAGGTAAATGGCGTTTCCATGCGCTCTGGTTTCCATCACGGTGTTCCGTTGCGCCAGAAGCTGTTTAGTCATGCTGGCCACATGACCCAGAAAGCTGTCTGTGGACAAACACCGGCTCCCTCAGCCTGAAAGCGAGATGAGTGCCACAACCCCATAGTCACCTTTGACTGGACTTAACTGTCCAGGGGTCCTTTATCTTTCCTAACCCAGTATCCTGTTCTTGCAGTAGCAAACCAGATGCCTACGGGAAGCCCAGAAACAGGACCCAAGTTCAACATCGCTCCCCTCTCTTCTGTATGGTGTTCACCCTGCACTCAGTTCTCAGCTGATGAGACAATTTATTTGATGGCAAGGAAACTTCAGGCTGGATGCAGGCATACAATAAAGCCTTGGTAGACCTGTTGTCTTTGTCCTTGTGCAGGGGGTTTTCTTGGCAGGGATACTGGAGTGGCTTGCCGGTTCCTGCTCCAGGTGGATCATGTTTGGTCAAAACTCTCCACTATGACCTGTCCATCTTGGGTGGCCCTGCACGGCATAGTTCATAGCTTCTCTGAGTTATTCAAGCCCCTTCGCCACGGCAAGGCAGTGATCCATGAAGGGGAGGCATTCTTAAGGAAATCAGCCCTGAGTGCTCACTGGAAGGACAGATCCTGAAGCTGAGGCTCCAATACTCTGGACACCTCATGAGAAGAGAAGACTCCCTGGAAAAGACCCTGATGTTGGGAAAGATGGAGGGCACAAGGAGAAGGGGACGACAGAGGACGAGATGGTTGGACAGTGTTCTCGAAGCTACCAGAATGAGTTTGACCAAACTGCAGGAGGCAGTGGAAGACAGGAGTGCCTGGCGCGCTCTGGTCCATGGGGTCACGGAGAGTCGGACATGACTAAACGACTAAACAACAACAGACCTGTTGTATGGACTAGAGCACAGCTCCCATTAGCACTCCTATTCCTTAGAAGTCAGTGAAGAGCAGGCAAATACCTTCCCCACACCTTGATTCAAATGTGACAGAGCCACTGTAGCCAGGTTAAAGCTGTTGCATACAAGTGCGATTAGTAAGAAAATGAGGAAAGAGGAAGGGCCACATAGTTCAGCGCTTGAGCATCTGCTTTGTAAGCAAAAGGTCCCAGCATCACAATTCCCAGCACCTCCAGGTATGGCTGGGAAGAAGAAGAAGAAGAAGAAGAAGAGTTTGGATTTGATATCCCGCCTTTCACTCCCCTTCAGGAGTCTCAAAGCGGCTAACATTCTCCTTTCCCTTCCTCCCCCACAACAAACACTCTGTGAGGTGAGTGGGGCTGAGAGACTTCAGAGAAGTGTGACTGGCCCAAGGTCACCCAGCAGCTGCATGTGGAGGAGCGGAGACACGAACCCGGTTTCCCAGATTACGTGACTACCGCTCTTAACCACTACACCACACTGGTCCCTTTTTTAATTTACGGAGAGCCAAAGTGGAAAAGTACTGAGCTAAATGGGACAAAGGCCTGGCTAGCTATAAGGCATCTTCCTTTGTTCCTGCGATAGTAAACAGGAAAATAAGGTTGCATTCCTGTACATTACTTACCTGAGTGTCAGTCCCAATGAACTCAGTAAGGGTCTGACTTTTGAATAGACTTGTGTAAAAAAAAGGTAAAGGACCCCTGACAGTTAAGTCCAGTTGTGAACGACTCTGGGGTTGCGGCGCTCATCTCGCTTTACTGGCTGAGGGAGCCGGTGTTTGGCTGCAGACAAATTTTCTGGAGAAACCAGAGCAGTGCACGGAAACGCCGTTTAACTTCCCGCCAGAGCGGTACCTATTTATCTACTTGAACTTTGACATGTTTTCGAACTGCTAGGTTGGCAGGAGCAGGGACTGAGCAACGGGAGCTCACCCTCTCACGGGGATTCGAACCGCTGACCTTCCGATCGGTAAGCCCTAGGCTCAGTGGTTTAGAAGAAGAAGAAGAGTTTGGATTTGATATCCCGCCTTTCACTCCCCTTCAGGAGTCTCAAAGCGGCTAACATTCTCCTTTCCCTTCCTCCCCCACAACAAACACTCTGTGAGGTGAGTGGGGCTGAGAGACTTCAAAGAAGTGTGACTGGCCCAAGGTCACCCAGCAGCTGCATGTGGAGGAGCGGAGACGCGAACCCGGTTCCCCAGATTACGAGACTACCGCTCTTAACCACTACACCACACTGGCTCTCAGCGCCACCTGCGTCCCCTAGACTTGTGTAGGATTGCTTTATAAGCCTTTATAAGCCTATATATCCTTGATTTGGGGGTTCACATTATCTCACGAAAGCCACTGGTGCCATCCTGTATCACAACAGCACTCCTTATGCACTCCTTGTTGCGCATGCGTTTGAAGCAGCTGGCGCATGCACGGGGTCAGTGTTCCAACAAATAGACATTGGGTTGCCAAGCTAACCGCATTTCCTAATTCTGACCTCGCTCAGTCAGGTGCAAACACTCAGAGGCAGAGAGGCTTCTCAGCAAAAGTATTTGCCTTCCCTTTTATAGATTTGCTTTGCTTCTATTTTAGCCCGGCCGGCTTCTCTTCCCTACCTGCCAAAAGGAACTTGAGTGTTTGTTGCTGCTGTTTGTTTTGGACGCTCCAGATGTGCTTTACATACTTACTGGGAACAACTGCAGACACCAGGCAATAATAATAATAATAGTAATAGTAATAAAGATTTAAAAATTTGCACTAAACAACAACAAAAGCTGGCATGTGCGAAGTCAAAACTAGTCCACTGTACAGAGATTAAATTTGCATTTGTTTTCCCATCCGCTTTTGGCCTCTAGCTCTGCCCATGCGGCCCTCAAAAGGTTGAAAGAATGGAATGTGGCCCTCGGGCTCCACCTCTGCGTTAAAGGAACAGAGGCCACCTCTGTTGCAATCTTATTGCCATTGTTTCTATTTAAGTTATACTAATAATTCCAATATTTTTAACATCTATGCATATATACATTAGCATGTTCTTTCTTTCTTTCTTTCTTTCTTTCTTTCTTTCTTTCTTTCTTTCTTTCTTTCTTAAATCTGTGTCTTCTTTTCTCAAAGTGGCCACCCTGTTTGTGAGTCTGGCGAGTTAGTGGGCCATCAAGTGCCCTAATGGCAAATAACAACAAAATAACATCATGGAAAGAATTGCGTAGTTACAGCTCGATTTCATATATATATTCTTTTATTTTATTTTTTAAAGTCTTTTTTCCTGGAAACAAAACAAACAGTGTCACAAAATTCTCTGTTTTGTTTCAGAAGACGATGGCTGGAACATTTAGATCTGCAAAGAACAATGGAGAACAGTCTGTTAGAAAGAAGTCATTATCCACCATCAGTGACTTTCAAATGCCGTGAGATGCTTTGTTGTACTCATTCCTGCGGTAATGAAGTCTAAAAGTTTTCCCTCCATCTTCTTTGACAGCTCCTTTCCTCCCCACTCCCCAGCAACAAAGCACATCTGCACTTCCCTCTCCCCAGGAATGAGCTGCGGCAAATCAGCTCCTAAATTGAAGTGCTCAAAACCTTTATTTTGAAAAGCTTGAATGGTGTCCATCACAAGTAGGAACCCTGAAAACCTTCCTTTTAAGGTGCTTATGGAATGCTCTTATCTGGTGCGGAGAGAGATTGGGGGGGGGGGGAGATGTCAGATTCACGCTCATTTAAATAATTTGACAGCTTCCAAGAAGACATTGATGAGCATCGCATTCAAGTGTCAAAAAAGAAAGAGTAGATGAGCACACAAAAAATAGTAAAAAAATATTAAAA